TATTTTATACATTATATATTACAATTAGTCGAAATATTATCAAAATTGCAATATCGCCAAGTGCAATATCCCAATCACAGGAGCTGAAAATTTTTGAGAGAGCAAAGTGTCACAACAATAAATAAATCATCGTGGTGCCACAGAGATGCCAGCCTATAAATAACATTTCAGATGTAAGAGAACATGTTTGTTTGATACAGACCCCAGCAAAAATCCCAAAATCATAATTTTATTTTTTTCAGTTAAAATGAAAATTATTATTCCAGCTAAAGTTGAAACTCAAATCACAATATGTCAAAATACTCACAATATGAATTTTTTTTTGTTCACATATTGTGCAGCCTAGCCTCATTTCTCTGTACAGTGAGTTAGAATAGCAACATATTTCAATATTTTTCACATCTAAACATCATGATAAATCTATAGCTGTTTGGGGCCCAGGTGTATTGCTCACGACCCGAGGTAGCACAGTGCCAAGAGTGAAGTTGTTTGTATGAGCGGTTCTCAAGAAAGCTACAAGCAACAACACTGCAGAATAAGCAGTCGGCCGTTTCAAACAGACATGTCTGAAACAGGCAGTGTACTATTTGCTATAAATGCAATGCAGTTCAAAGCAACATATTTTAAATTGAGGTGGTCTCCATTACTGTTCGTGGTTGTGGCTACCATAATCATCAAATCACACAATTAAGCACAAGTAAGTCTAATTTCACATGAACTGTGAGATTTCATGTTCCATGTTTCAAATCATTATTTTAACCCAAATCTTCACTGTTCCCCAACCCTAACCAAGTGTCTTTTGTGCCTAAATGTAACCACACCTTAACCACAGCGTTATCACACCGTAAAGCCCAGTTCAGATTAAAGATTCACAACAAGACAAAACCATTTTAGAACCTTGCAGAGAAACATTGTAGCGATGTGAACTGGCTGGTCTGAGCTTGACTCAAGTTGGCTGATGGTGTCACCTGCAACTCAGCTGGTCAAATCGCCAGTGGCTGGTTTTAGAACGTAAAGTATGTCACCTGTTTCAACAGCCAATCGGCTTGTAGTGACGTCAACTGGTCAAGTCAAAATGACCGCAGATGGCCTGTTTGCTTGCTGCGGCAGGTGCTCTGTCTCAGCTGAGCCCTCTGTTTCTGTCCTCATGGTGTGCTGGTGTCGGATGGTGGGTCTGCTGCTGCTCGCTGTATGTGTTTAGGGCTTTAACCCTTAAACAGCCAGACAGTAATATTTTGAAGTGGCTCATGAGAGTCTCGCAAACCAGGATTACCATCTAGCCATGACCGATCAGAATAATTGTTCCTCTAAGGAAAGGAAAGGAAGTCTTAGGAAATTTCATGGAATTCACCTTTGATATATCTTGCTGACAGACAGAGTGAAAACCAAACTTAGTAATAAAAGTAAGGTTACCAGTTCCCACCCCAGACACAGCATCAGTGATCACCACCACTTTGTTCCGCACCAAGGACTTGGACATGAACTGCATGACCTCATTGTAGATGTAGTACACTCCCGCTGCTACGATAATCAGCAGGGGCAACACCATCACAGAGGGCAGGGCCATGTTCTGTAGAGGAGAGGGCACAGGATCAGTGCAGGCAACAGCTAATAACACATTTTTATACATTTTATATATAGAGTGCTTTTCAAGATACTCAAAGACATTTTACATTGGTCAAAAACAATCACAAGATAGACTACAATAAAATACACACAACATCATTCACACAATAAAGGCTGTTAAACACCTGCAGACCTAATGAACTACATTAGCGGAGTCAGCAGTCTGTGCTGACTGTACAGTTTGGATCAGGTTTTAGGTCTCCTAAGGTATGGCTCATTTGTGGTGTAAACTAATACAGTGTCAATGACAAAAAGTACATGCAGAGCACATCTCACTTATCTGAGAGCTTAGAATGCATTCGCTAAATTCTTGTCTTTATCACTCCTTTATGTGTGGTATTGATTCAGTCATGGGAACCAATAGTGGACGATTTTTTTCATGTTTTTGTTTTCATCGGGTCCATGTCATTGGTTCGACAGCCCATTGGTTCGACATCCCATTAGTCCGACTGTCCGCGGTGCTGAACAGCTCGCGGCGGGCGTATGGTGCGCCGCCACCGGCTTGAGGCGGAGCAGGCTCACGGCTTATGTGTTTGTCACTTTCTTTTTCATTTTAACCCACACCATGATCTTTTCCTGACCCTAACCAAGTGTTTTTTGTGCCTAAACCTAACCAGACCTTAACCACAGGGCATCATGATGATTTCGGAACGGACTTAGGAACAATGAGTTTAATATGGTCGGAACAATGGGCTGTCGAACCAATGCGCAGTTCCCGTTTTCATCAGGACTTAACTTATCAGTGTACTTCAGGAAAACAGTAATTGTTCCTAATGATTTGTCAGAAGCAATCATGTGTGTGAGACTGTGACCTTCCTAGATCTGTTTTTGCAATAGAAAAGAAGTAAACCTTGGGCTAGAAAACAATACTGTTCAATCTCTCCATCAGTTGTCTCTTTATCTCCAACAAGAGGAGGGAAATCTGAGTAAATATACATGTTTAATCAATGGAACTAATGGATTTGTATTTAAAGCAGTAGTTCGACATTTTGGGAAATAAACTTATTTGTTTTCTTGAGACTTGAGGATTGTCTTTTGCTGGACATATTTTCCCCACAAATACAACATGTTAATGTTTTTAGCACAAGCCTATGGCATTTTACATTGTATAAATTAGCGTAGCGGATAGAAGAGATTTTCTTTACTCATATGAAGCCAGGAACAACAGCAACATTTAACAAAGGTAGCGTTACAAAATCCCTCTCCATTATAACTCAAAACATTCACTGACAAAACAATTGACTCATACTAAACACATTTTCCAAATAGATACAACATGCTAACGTTATTGGCACAAGCCTAGGGCATTTTACATTGAAGGCTATAAATTAGCATAGCAGCTAGCAGAGATTTCCTCTACTCATATGAAGCCAGATTAAATCAAACACAAAGCCTTAAAATGCCATTTTGTGGGAGCTTTATTGTTTTCACAATTTTTTGTTTCTTAAATGGGAAATAAAAGTAAATAAATGCTTTGTTTCCACTGAGGGAAATGGTTACAAAAATAGGCAGGAGGTCTGTGTCACCAGGACGTGAACTTAAATTTCTGCCGTCGAATCGACACAGGAGTATGAATCTCACTGAATGTTGTATTTGTGGGGAAAATTTGTCCAGCAAAAGAGTTTTTTGTCTGTGAGTCCTGTAAGTTATAGTGAAGCCGATTTTACTTGTAATTGAAACTGTCTCTATTAAGCCATGTTTATTGTGTGTTTTGGGTGTGTTTTGAATCAACTAAACTTTACAACACTTCAGAGAAACCCCACCGCTGTGGTTGTTTTGAACCTGTAATTGTAGAGTGACGCCGACAAACCACCGCGCAAGTATAAATCCTCACAACTGCGTAGGCCACGTGCATAGGCTCTGCATAGAGCTGACACACAAGTATGAATACACCTTTAGATGAGAAGACTGATGTTGATTTTCTCTTTTACAGTAACTCTTGGCAAGAGAGTGAATAACCACATAATGAACTATTAGTGTAAAGTTGACTGCGTATAACATGCTAAATCCAGATAAAGTACCTCACCTAGAGTCATCTGTCCGTTCAATAGAGTGCTCTGGAGATGACGTTTTTCTGTAGGCCAACACAGAAGTTAGCGTCGCCCTGGTTCCCTTGTCAAAAGCTTATGGTATTTTTCCATTTGATTTTGGATTATTGAAGAACATAAGATCTGTGGCAAACAAACGTTTATCATAGTTACACGTTTTGTTCAGCAAGATAATCTTCATAAATGAACCCCTCTATTATGATTTGTGAAGCCTAAATGCAATCACCAGAGGTAAAAAGCTAACGTTAAACAAAGGTTATAACAAAATTACACCACAGTCGCATGTCTTCATGTCCCTACCACAACATGGCTGTACAGCTGTGATCAGCGTGATGACGTTCTGTAGTCTCATTTAGCCACTTGTTAGCAACCACCTTTTTTAAGACACATGAAAGCGTGTGTGTGTGTGTGTGTGTGTGTTTGGATGAAAAATAGAGGGTATGGGATTATTATATCCAATATGGAATAAAAATAAATATATAAATAAAGTAAAAATATTTAAAAAAGAAAAAGAAAAATGAAGATAGAAAAATATGTATCTGTATATCTATACATACATATATGTATGTATAGATATATATATATCTAAACTCATTAAAAAAAAAAATATTGACTTTGAGATGAGGGAACCTGGAGTGCTAAAACGCTAACTCATTTCTGGGTTTTAAGATAAAATAACATAAGATAAGATACACCTTTATTGATCCCACAATTGAGAAAAAACTTAAAACTTAAAAACTAGGCATGCAAAATAAAGTAAAAAAATACAAGAAACGGCGATAAATAATAATAATAATAATAATAATAATGAGAAGTGGATAATAATGAGCAGTAAATAAAAATGAGCAGTGGATTAAAGAGAGCATATCTAGTGCAAGTGATTGTATGTGCAAAAACAACAAACAGCAGACTCATTCCTGGGGCACTCTTTATCTCTAAAGATAGCCAACTTGTAGACCAGTATATCAGATCCATGCTGTGTCCATGTATTGCTTTAACTGTTATAAACTCTAGATTTCTGCTCTAAATATTTTAAGCCCCTTAAGGAAACTATTTTTGGTGGCCTTACTAACACACTTACCATGTAAAGGGAGTTTGAGGACAACGGCTAAAAATATTCTGGCCATACTGCTGCCACAGAATCCCTTGCACTATGTCACCACCAGGATATTGTCATAGGATACCCTAAGAGGGGCAACTGAAGTAATGGATAACCTAAACGGCCATGCATTAGTTGGGCAAACACATTAAGATAGCCCTAATCCACATTAAAACTAGCATTTCTGATTACCCTAGAGACCTGCTTCCCAGCTCAGCCCCATATATATGGTTACATGATTGGATCTCAGCGGGTTAGTCAGCTAGTCAGCTTGTGAGTGCACAGGTATAGCAACCATGCCCCCCCTCCAATAACACACCTGTAACCTGTGTTATTATTGGTTCACTTACAGCATGAACAGGGAGCTAATCCTTCAGCAGGTCTGGCTGTTGTTTTTTCCAGATTTAGTCAGGTACCAGAGGCCCTTCTCCCTCTCTATCTCTTGTCCATTCACACAGCCCTGCTCCTCTGTCTGTCTCTCTGTCTGTCTTTCTGTCTGTCCTGCTGCTGTCCACTGGAACCTGCTGCTTATAATAACCTCTGCTTCAGTCAGCCATTAATACACACATACTGCATGTGGTATCTGAATCATGCTCCCTTGTCGCCAAGATGAAGGGATGGATTACAAGTCAAAGTTTCAGTTGTGTCAGGGGCAAGTGTTTGCCTTGAACTGCTGTTTCAGTTAGTATGGTTTTCCAACTGATAAATGACTCTCTTATTCATAAAAAATAATAACTTGATCAAGGCACATACCTTCCAGAAGACATGTTTTCTTTAGAAAATGCCAAAAATAATATAATCATATAAAGTTTATATATATTATATAATGTCCTTGGACATATGCTGTGCGACTATTGTACAAAAAAAATATCCAAATCTGTACTTAAAGATAGTAAAATTTCATCAAAATTACTTCATTTTATGTCTCATTTAAAGACTGGCCAAAAATAAATAGTTTGCGCTAACTAAACAGCATGCATGGCAAGAGTGAAAAACTGAGGCTTTTTTCAAACACCAGCATTTCATCCTTAACTTTTCACTTTCAAATATCAAAGGGTAAGTTTTAAAAATATAATGACAAATTTATGGTGGAGGTATTTTCCACCAGTCACTCAGGGTGGCTGAAGTGAAAATATTTTTAGGTTGGGGGAGGGTCAAAAAACCAGAAGTCACACCCCAGCCACTCCCCTCCTCTGACAAGTAAAGAACAGTTCCTGAGGTTATCTACTCAAGCCTCACAAAAGCTCAATAGAGCTCGTAAGTCACGCCCCTTCCGGTAGACCCCCATCGGACCTCTAGGCTCGGAAAATATGAATGAGAGTCAGTGGAGAGAAAATAATTATTTTCTGGTCCCAGTCATTAAATGCCTTGGATTACACAAATGTTTTGTGTGGGTCTAAATAATATTTTTTCATGTTAAAAGTTTGACAGTTTATTGTATGATTTTTCAGTTAAAGGCTGTGGAAACAACTTAATGAGAAAGACTACATGTCGCCTATGTAACATCACGTCATCACACTTTCCCTCCACTTCTCATAATACTCACCAAAACCTTGTAACGCTGCTCTCGTCTACTGGTGTGGACAACGCCGACCATCTCCCCACTGGCATAGCTGAAACTTTCTACATGTCCAGACTTGTAGTGGTTTTTGCCACGCTTAAGACTTTTGTCATCTCCTTGGAAGAAGGCGGTGAAGTGTACCAGAGACACAGCCATGTTCCGAGTGCAAGTGGTAACATATATCATACGTGTCCAGAGCAGCGAAGAGCTGTAGTCCACAAAGTGCTCTCACACAAAACCTAACAGTATCAAACTTCTTCCCGCTAAATTGTAGCCTTCTTTGCACGAAAAAATACATTAAAAATTCACAAACAACATATGTGAAATTCATGGCACAATTTAAACGGGACCAGAAAATAATTTTCATCTATCCATTGAAATACATTATGAGAAATCGATTTTTAAGGTCCCATGTACCAGAAACGGAAACATGCAACTTACGAGCTCAATAGGTGTTTCTCAATGTCAAGGACGGATCCTCAAACGGCTGAATTTAAAGGACGCCACGTCATCGACCCCCGCCGAAGGACTGTTCCAATGTGAAGGATCCTTCCAAGTTTCGAAGGATGCATGTGTGGATCCTCCGCAGGTATAAAATCCCCACAATGCTTTGCACAGTAAACAATTTGCTGGAAGTGAAGGCTGGGCCTCGTCAATGAAACCTGCGGCAGCGGAGCTTGGCAGGATTTATGCTGCGTTCGTTTTGTACTTGGAGGTCAGAAGTCGGAAGTGGGAATGACGTCACCTCCGAGTTGACAACAGTTTTTGCGTTCTAGTTGACGACGGTGGACAAGTCAGAAAAAAACATGGACGCCCACAAGAAAGCCTTTGTTTCCCTTGCACTTTCGGAGTTTCAAAACCATCATGCACTCCAACTGATGAAAGCCGCAGATGAGGCTGACCTAATGTAAAACAAATAAGATAAAATTGCTATAAACAGTACTTTAGCAGAGTGTTTACTCTATGGTTTACTCACTATGTATGTTACAGACAGCCATCTTGAATTCGTAAGTCGGGGTTGATGCGGTTGCTCCGAGTTTCCGAGAACCCAACCTCAGGGTGCGTTCAAGTTTAAACTTCCGACTGGGAACTGGGAATTTTCGACCTCTGAGTACAAAACGAACGCACCATTAGATTAGTATGTAATTTATTTGGACTAATGTCTCCATGAGTTTTTATCATCCAAGCGTGAAAAAAATATTGACAGAAACCTCATAATTAACACTTTTCAATGTGTCCACTGCCGAATAATGAGATTTTTTGAAATAACATGATTTAGATAAAACATCAAAGTTTTAAATGAATCATTCAGCATAGATGGAGCGCTGAGTGTCCCCCTCCCCTCCTCCCCCCACTATTCACATGATAACCACATGATAACTGCTCTCACTCTTATGGAAGCCCATTTCCGCCACTTGATGGAAAAAAATAAGATCTAATAACTCAAAATAATGAGATACTAAGTCAAAAATAATGACTTGCTAAGTCAAAATAATGAGATACTAAGTCAAAATAATGAGGTGAATGAGTACAGTTACAGCCTTCGACAATCCATACTCTTCATCTCTCAGTCATGATGGATAAGATCATTGAGGGATACTAACTCAAAACAATGAGGTAATAACTAATTTGATTGGACGAGAAGCATTCCGTGAGTGCTGATATAGAGTATAACATCACTGGGACTTGTAACAGTAAAATCACTCCGCTCACAGGTGTTATACATATAAACACAACCGTTAATTAACCAACTGTCACACTCGCTACAATGACGCAAACTGACACTATAGCGTTACACCAAGAAGATGGATATTTTCCCCAAAATTACATTTGAATTAAATTATGAGTGGTCATCAGGAGAGGACGAGGAAAAGGAAAGCCAGGACTCGTCTGTGCAGATCTCCAGGTGTGTTTGTGTAACATCAGCCGACCTCGACAAACTGGAGAGGAGCAACAATTAAGCGAACACGGTCAGGAATTATCAATGATCATCTGATGAGGTACTGATGAGGATGAGGGATAGTGGAAGCTGAATCCAGCCGTGCCAACATCCAGGTTTGCCAACGTTTCATCAGCCGAACAGGGCGAAGTTACACAGTTGCAGATCAATGTAAATACAAAGTAGCTTGTGAGTTCCTGGCACGTGTGCTGCGTTGCCTGGCAGCAGACCAGGGGAACTGTTTTTTCTACGCGGAGCTACATAACATACTTAAATAATTTATTTTATCACCTTTTGTTAGCATTTCGTTACTCAGCATTGCTGTTTAAGCTGTTGTTGAACTGTTGTATAAAAGCAATATCACAATTGAAACAATAAAATCACTCATGTTTATGCTCTGAGTCTCCGTTGCTATGGTTACAAACTAGCGGTTGACCCAGCGCAATAATTTAGGACCTGTCATCAGGCACGGATACCCTGCAGCCAATCAGAATTGAGTATTCACCCAGACCATGGTACAAACAGAGTTTTGGGTAGCCGATGTGTGCAATGCAGTGCCAACGCATAGCTCCAGTGCTTAAATAGCCTAGGCCAAAGTTAGAAGTGCTACACTACCAGAAGGACTCAGCAGCCACGCCTCGTGTCTCCATACGGTATTCAGAAATTTGTTATATTGTAATCACAGGGTAAACAAGGCGTAACCTTATTTATGTGCTTGCGGTGCAATATCACTATAGTAGAGAGCTATGATCTAGCGCAACATCTTTTGGGACTCGGACCTAAAGACGGGTTGTGATGCACAAATCATGGTGTTATCAACAGTCATTTCGCCCCTTAATGTCAATTGCTAAGCTGCCAATTTGTGAGTGAAGTGGTTTGTGACTAAAGATGCGTCTCGCCCTCTTTTCATGTTTAGGTGATTATTGCTAACGTTTGCAAAATAGACTGAACTGGCATGAGCCAATTAAGTATTTGATTATTTACATTGATAAGGGAAAGTGATTCATTTAAAACAATAGCCTAGCATACCAACAGTAGACTTACATCTTACTTCAGTAGTTTGTACAATATATGATTTCATTTTTAATTGTTGACATGTGAGATAATGTGAGATAATAAACCAAATTATTAAGGTGACACCTAAGTTAAGCAAAGCCTCATGTTAAATTATAATATGCATAAAAGTTACAATGTAAAATCATTGCTCATCTGTTGCCCAAGACTTTTGTTAAATGTATGAATGATTATAGCCCACTATAGCCTTCCTTGTAATGTATATGCCTACTTACAGGATGGATGACCTAAGTGACTTCTTAAGACAGAGAAATATTCCTGAGAGGCCCTGGACCAAGAGAAGGTAGGCTACTTGACTGTAAAAGCACAATATTTCATTCAAACAACTGTAGGCCCACTTTTCATGGTCATTTCCTGACTATCGGCTTTCTTGCTGTTTCCTGAAACTCAACATACCTAAATGTTATCAGTAGCCTAATGATTAGGTCATCTAATCAGGATTGATTTTTTTTAAACAACTGCATTTTCCATATTTAGACTGATGCTACCACCATATTGCTGATGACAGATGAAGACTTGAAGACTTATTTGCCATCTTATTGGGATCGCCTTGCATTATTTGTATTTTGTAGGAGGAAGGAAAACAGACAAGCGCTTGAAAAACAAATTGTCCCAAAGAAAAGCTTGTGATGGAGGCAGCAGCACAAACCAAGGAGAACAATTCCAGCCAAGTCAGAAAAAATGCTGTGAAGACAATGAGAAAAATAGAAATAGGATGGATGCACTATGATGATGAAAAAGAGGCTTTCAAGCAAGTGAGAGCCAAGCGAGGAGGGGGAGCTAGAAAGCTTGAAATTTCAAAGGATGCTCAGAAAAGGGATGTGATACAGGAGCTGACCTGACCTGACCTGTTCTTTCCAAATGGGAGCAATAGTCTGGGGTCCTTAACAGATTTTTAGTTAGATATCAAAAATTATCAAGAGATTACACTTGATGAGGTGATGACAGTT